ACAGGTGTGCACGTACCCCTCTCCCCCTCTCCCCCTCTCCCCCTCTCCCTGTAGATGCGCCGACATTGGCTTTAAAGCAATAATGAAAGTGAGTAAATCTGTTTAGGGCACTAGCCCGCTATGCAGAACAAAGTGTCCGGCTGCAGCGAGCAGCGACAAGTTTCTGATTGTGTTGGAGTAGGCTGTGACATCTTGGAAGTCAATAGGGTTTCCCTGGGTCTGGGCTGGGTGTCAGGGAGCCGCTTCCCCGTTTCATTTCAGAGTGGTGTGGGGAGGGTCTTTGTGCATGGCTTGGGTGCGTGCCCAGCACGCTGGTGCATTAGCTGTAGGTGCTGAGGAATTTTCCAGCCACACGAGTTGGCAGGGAATGAAAGGAACGGGTATTAATTTCTTGGTGTACAGCTCGGAACAGGGGGGACGTAATTGCAAAGATTGACATCGAACCGTGTTTCTGTGTGCCACACAGCATGCAGCCCTGCCTTTTAAAAAAAAATAGCTGAATTTCTCTCCCTGGCTTGACTTTTCTACATTTTGTGTCCATTTGGGTTTGGAGAGGGACACAAGAGGTTTCAGCATTGAGCGGAGAGTTAAATTATGCAGCTGCAAGACTGCCAAGCCCTTCAGAATAGGATGCTTCGTTTAGATTTTCCACAATGCTATTGAAGTGCTTATTTTCCTCCTGAAGAGACACAAACAGATGCAAACTTCTGTAAACACTTTAGAAATGAATTCAGTGAGTTTGGCCTCTCAGCAGTGCTCAATAGCTGACAGAAAAATGTCTAATTAGTGCAAGTGGAAATAATAGGGCCACTTGGATTCCTTCCATCCTCCTCCAAGTCTACTTTTCCTAGGAACTCAAAGGCCCTTTTGTTTGGTAGGTCACCCTCTCTCAGGCTTTTGTGCTGCGATCTATTAAAGGAAGAAGGGGAGGAAAAAAAATAGATTAGGCGATGCTCTGTGCTTAAATATATGGCCTGTTGATGAGCATTTCAAATGGCTGGTTTGCAGTGTCAGTTTACAGGTGCTTGGAGAGGGGGATTCCTCCATTGTTGGCCGGCATAAGCAAAGTTGTGCGTGCAGGGCTCCAGGAATCCTTTTCAAGTGCCATCCTCTTAGAAATCCAGTTCTGGCTCAGGAAAAAAAAGGAAATTTGTACAAATCCGCCCCACCAAAGTGCAAACAAGCTAGCAAATGCTTGCAACAGGTTGGTGTTGCAAGTCATCCTTCGGGCCGCATACTGTAGGCTCTTCTCTAAACCGTTTGACACAGGCTTTCTCCTGCACACCTCAGACAGTGGTTATGCTGCTTAAAATCAAGTATGGGTCTTGCTGTCGGATTTCAGGCTTCTGAGCTAAAAGCAAAGAGAATAGAAATGAGGCTGAGGAGGAGTCCAGGAAACCTGTCTGGTGTCTAAAGCAGTTCATGGACATTGCTGTCTCTCTGTCTCTGCCTGTGCATTTACACAGGGAAGATGAGGGAAGGAGGCTGGTGCCAAGACAGAAATGGGAGATAGCTGCTAAACTTGATGTCTTAGTGGGGATTTGGATAAAGTTTTCTTGGCAGTCTCTCATCCTCTGATGATGCTGTGGGGTCTGATCCTGCCTCCCCTGTGTTGCTTTTACTCTGTCATGAGTGGAGTTACTGACACGAGAGGCACATCGTTTATGTGAGGAGGCTTTGTATGGTTTCAGGTGTTTTCTGTTTTTTGCTTTCTCTTGTGATTGACCACACCACAAAGCAGTACTCGACCATTGCCAGCTCCCAGGTGTTTGAGCCGGGCTCAAAATCAGGAATGATACCTGTGGCTCAAGCAAAATAAACAGCTGAAACCTTCCTGTCTTAAAAAGGAAAACACTGTCAGGAATAGTCATAATTCTAGGTTATAATAAATGCTATCTGATCACTACCACAAAGACTTTTTCCATTATATAAATGCCTAGGAACATAAAGATTATAAGGTGAGTAGAAGTTTTGAGACACCTTTTTAATTGCTAGTGAATATTTGCTTCTTGTAATGTTCAGTACTTCATTTGCTGTAAATCTGTGAAGCCACCTTACAGCAACTAAGAATATCCCTTCTGTTCTAAAATGGTATGTAGGCAGCACCATTAGTCAGAGGGTTACTAAAGCTGAATATTTTCTGTAGACGCTTCACAGAGCCTTTGCAAGGTGAGTTTCTCCAAGGCTGCCCCATGACATTGGTGTTCTTTTCAGGTTTATTTGAAAGCCTCCATCATGGTCAAGGACTGCGCAACGGCAACTGCTATTGTGTTCCTGATTGACCGGTTCCTGTATTGGATTGATGCCTCAAAAAAACTTCTTCAGATTGCCAAGGGTCTGCACAGGCTGCAGCCCACCGTGCCGATCAGTCCTCAGGTGCTCATCCGCCAGGCTCGCCTCTCTGTCAACACAGGTATCACTCTGTTTTCTCAGATCAAGCCCAATTAGGAACTACTTGACTTTGAAGAAGACACTTTGTCCCTTGCTGGAGATGGCATGCTTACGGCCCCGGTGCCATCTTTTCAAACACACAGCCCACTCCCAGCCCCCTTGAGCCCTCCCAGCTCCTCTCACTAGCACAAAGGGGCTGGTATAAAGGGTTTCAGAGGCAAAAGCAGGAGAGAAAATTGTGAAAGGGTGTGGAAAATACTAATTGGAGCTTTTGTTCCTTAACAAATCTTCCCTGCTGGTTTCAAACAGGGATATATGAATTGCTATACTTCTGACCAAGAGCCTTTAAAAAGTAAATTAGAATCCCAGCATTTTTCCTGCACTGTCCCAGCTGCTATTTTTTTTTTCCAGTGGGACCACTTGACTATGCAAAAAATGCAGCTTACAACCCCTTGAGGATAAACTGAACTTAAAAAAAAAAATGTCACCATTCCATCATAATGTGGGCAACACCTGAAGGATTTTTAATATATCTTCCCACTGTCCTACTGGGGAGAAGAAAACAAAGCCAGACAAACCTGCTCTGAAAAAGCCAGTTGAGGAATATTTTATTGGCAGAAAAATAGCCAGTTTTTGCTTGTGGCTGTGGACTTTTCATGCTCCCATTGCTGTGGTGTCTGGGTACTGGCATGCTCCACTTGATGGCCTAGTTCAGCCAACACGTACACTGCTTCACTGGCTGGAGCAGCCTTCTTGAATTCAGCCAGACAACTGAGACAAATAGTAAGGCTCAACATGTATCAAACTAGTCAAATTAGAACTTAAGACATCTCCTGCAGCCCATCAAGCCTGCCATGGGTGACTCTGGCCATGTGACAAAAGCTCTGAGCCATATGACAGGAGGCTGAAAGGCAGAATCTCCACTTTGTGTTGCATGCTGCATTCTTGCTATATATTCTGTGTTTAAGGTGCTTCTTAAAAGCTAATTAGAGAGTGACAGTGAGGCAGTGTAACCTGCAGCTATGTTTTCTGTGGTGGGATGCCAAGTCAGCTGTTTTCAAGGTGCGTCTGCAGAGCTTCCCCTTCTGGTGAACTCCCTAGTGAGACCAAAATGGGTTTCCAAAGCCCACGTTTCCTTGGGACAGAAACAAGCAGCTCTGTTGCTGAAGGAAGCAGGCTGGACTACTTTCTCCTGGAAGAGAAATAAGAGTAGGGAATTCCAACCAGTGGGGTAGTCAGCAGCTTAGTGCTCATCCCAGTCTTAGTGCCACCTCCCCTGCTCTGAATCCTGCAGCAGCCCAAAGCATGGGAAGGAATAGAGTAAGAAATGAGTGCCTGGAGGCACCTGCCTACACCATGGGGCTTGGGTTTACTCTAAAACCAACACACAGCCTTAGCTTTGCCCATAAAGGTGAAGTATCTGTTGTTTTCTCCTTGCGGTTCATTTGGTGAAGCTGCACTGTAGAATGGAGACAGCACTGCACAGAAATTCAACAGAAATACCGGAGCTTGACTCGAGGAAGATTTTCTCACATTTTAAGATTAAGCACTCTTCCAGAAATGTGTGTTAAGTAAAACAGATATATGGATAATTTCCTCTTACTGTGCAACCACATACTATAGAATGTAGTGCATGTATATTTATGACTATTGACAGCAATAAATCTGTGTGCAGGTATTATCAAGATGTATCATGTTAAATATACAGCTTTTTGATGAGATTTTTTTTGTCTGGCTAGAAACAGTTGCCTCATCGGCGTTTTCTGCAATATTTGTTGTATATGTGAAATAGCCAGTGTCAGACATTCCTGAGCATGAGTGGCATCTGCAGTGCATGCTTAATCGGAAAGTTTAGTCTAAGTGTAAACATACTGGCAGTGCTGGGAAGAAAAGTACAATTAGCAGGGGCTTTCACTGATTAATATTTTTGTTCATGTCACATGAAACATTTTTGTATTCTTTTTCTATTTTTTTTTTTTTTAATCAGGTAAACTTCTAAAAGCTGAATATATCCTAAGCAGCCTTATTAATGACAATGGAGCAACAGGTACATATATATATATATATCTTTTCCAATTTCATAGTTACTATTTTGGTGGGATTTTTGTTACTAATTTTAACAGTCACACAAGCTTCAAATACAGCCAGTTTGATCTCAGTAGTGGCTCCTTACATCACATTTCTCTTTTCTTCACCATTCTTTGCTAAAAATGTGGAAACTGCAACTTTGTTTTGAAATTTCCATAATTCCTCCTTCTATATTTTCACCTAGGTGGGAAAATATTCTGGATTGACAGCCTTTATATTAATTTCTCTGCCCAGAGTATTTTAAAATGTGGACCAATTTTAAGCGATTGACTGATCTAGAAAACTAAGACAACTCCCTCCCTGCCAAAAATCCAGATGATTAGAGTAATGCTTACCCTCCAAATTCACACTGATCCTACAAACTAAATGAATACTTTATCTAAACCTGTAGCAGACTGCAGTGCAGTTATGTAGTATCTTCTGGTGTTAAGGAAAAAAAGAGAGTGAGTCCTGGTTCTTACAACACTTTTTTCTATTGCTGGATAAATGTGCAAAACTGTAAAAATGGGACCATTCTTTAATGCATGATAACATTTGTAGAAATTACTTTTTTTTTTTCTTTTCCTTTCTGTCAAATTACTATACTGCTGGTGGTGTGGCTTGTTTCAGATCTGAAGAGATGTGTATTATTTCTAATGGTAACATTTTTTTAGTTTTGACAGACATCCATAATTATTATTTATTTATGTTTCCAAGAGAATATATTTTAGGATTTTATATCTGTTCTCCATTTTCTTGGCCTTCAGGTTTTATTTAGTCAGTACATTCAAGTTTCTCTACAACCGTGAATCTTAAAAATTTTAAGAAGCCTGTTGTGGGTTTTGTTGGTTTGTTTTTCATGTGAAACTGAGGTACACATACAATAAGGGCTTTAAACAAAATACCCGCTATCACTATCCTATTAAGGTGCATTTCATCTCCTTGGGATTATGCTTTGCTTTTAAGATAATTTTCATAAAATTCAATATTAATACTTGTTTGTTTCCCACTGAAGGTGTTTTGTTAACAGACGCTTCACACTGAGAATCGCAGTGAAATGTTCACAATACTTAGGAAAGCTTAGTGATTTTATTCATATTCTATTCTTAAATCCAATATAGATTTGATAATGAAAGACTTTGTGTAACTAATCATACCGTGTTAGCATGAAAACTTATGTTTTAATCTTCATGAGATACTGATATCTGAAAAGAAAACATGCTTTGCCAATGATATTTTACTCTTTTGTACATACTGGTAACCACAAAGATATCCCATATTAATCCTTTTGACTAGTTTTTAGTGGAACTCTATATATTTATATACAGTGAGTCATGTCACAGGAGGGAGGTACCTTTCACATTTTAGATTGGTTTTATGCTCTATATAGCTGTCACTCAAGCTACATACGTCTGTCTACTTATATTCCTTAATGCACTGTCACTTTGTCATCTCTCTGACTCTAAGGCCTGACTCAAACCAGCTGAATTCAATGGGGAGAATCCTGACAATTTACTGGGATTTAGGTTACCCTCAGAGGCTTAAAATGACAGCAATATTTTTAATTCTCTTCTGAGTTTTTGCACTCTTTCTGCAGGTACCTGGCGATACGCTAAGGAAAGTGATAGGACTCTGGTTCAGTCAGTCTGCTTACAGATCAGAGGACAGATTCTGCAAAAGCTTGGTAAGGCTTTTTTCTATAAACCGCTGCTCAAGGTTTTCTCTTACTTTTTTAATGGTACATTTGGCAAATCTCAGAATTTTAGCTTGTGTAGAACACCTGCCTGGTGCCTGTAACACAGCCCCAAAGATGGGCTGTACACCCATCTGTTTGTAGCAAGGACCTAGAGGTGTGTACCCAGCAAACACATCTTAGAAATTTTATTTTATATTTTATAAATATATATAATACATTATATTTTATTACTGATCTTACCAGAGGTTGAGGAGCATTCTGAAATGTTGTTCCCTTTTTCCTTGTGCTACTCCATGTTTGCTAATGCTTTTCCCAAATTCACTGTTCCCAGAGGCATGCAGTAGTTTATCACAGGTACATCACAGCAATTTCCTCTCTCAAGACAAGAAAATCCCTATACTTCAGCGTGATGGGCTTCTGTATTCAGGGCTTGGTACTTGAGGCCAGCAACGTTAATTTGATGCTTTTGATGTGACCTTCCATCTTTCATGACTGTTGAGCTGAAATCTTTTATTAGCATAAAATGTGTGTTTATGCACAGCCAAAAGCTAAAGGAAACTAATAAATGTTCAGTGTCACCAAAGCAAAAAATGCCATGGTATGGTTTTATACTCTTTTGAGGCTTTAGGAGGTGTAAAATAAACTATTAGAAAGCCATCTGTAACAGTAATCTGCTTAGTGACTATTTTTCTGATTTATTTCAGGGATGTGGTACGAGGCAGCAGAGTTGATTTGGGCATCAGTTGTGGGATATTTCAAGCTTCCTCAACCGGATAAAAAGGTAGTATTTACTTTTCACTCCTTGCCAATCTAATAATCATTCCAGGTTAGCTTTTGTTTGTTTCAGAAAAGTCTATTAGCAATAATGTTTCAATTATGCACTTCAGACAAGGTTAACATGCAGGACAAATATGCTAGCCGAAGTCTGTATTGCACATTGTTTCCGCATGCATACACAGACTTATGGACACCTTTTTTCCTGCAGGGGAATGAGGGTAACAGTTTTCATTAAGCAGAATCATCTGAAGTGAACCATCACCTAGGATGTCACAGGTGCCTCTGGCAAGGACAGACTAACCCCAGAATGCAGCCATAGATTTTATTTTTTGATTAGGACAAAGGCTAATTTTTTTAAACTAGTAACCAAGCATGTCTATTTGCTGAGCTGCACTACACAATCTGTTGTGGGTGATGGATTTTCCCAACACTGCAGTATTTGAGCACCTTGCAACAGCTGCCTTATCTGTCTTTAACACCTTTGTGAGGCTTGGCCACACTAATCTCACTGTAGATGAAGCAGCAGTCACACCATGTGTCCATAGCTAAACAAGAATGTGAACCTAAGTCTTGCAAGTCCTAGGGTGATGCTTTAAGAAGTTTTGTAATTGTACCCCAGCATAAGATATGGCACAAAACCAGACCTTGTCACCTCTCCTCTGCCATACCTTAAAGCTTGACCTCAAGTTCAGAATGTTTCTGTGGGAGCAAAGATAGGTAGTGAATTTTGTGGAAAGCATACAGATACTTCCTTGCTTTCTGAACTATTTAGCTGGGCAGACCCTTAGCTAGCACATATGGATCAAATCTTCCAGAGACAGAGGTAATTAGCAAGTTTGTAGATCTATATGTTGTATGTTCATGTCCTATTTTTTAATTGGTTTGGTAGAACCAATTAAAAATTACAAAAAAACCTCCCCAATTATATCAACACCAAGAACTCTTGACTTTTGTCCAGCTCTGTTTATTTGGTGAAATAAGCTAGAGAAGTGTGTTAAAATTGATTCTTGTTTTCTCAGGCTGTGTGATGAGCATTTATTACTTCTATCATCTCTCTAGACGTTCACCATGGATTTTTTAGAAGGACTGGGATCAACTGGCCAGTTCTTAAACATAGTTTTTGGCTTTCTGTAGTCTTTTCTGAAAAATAGTGGTAAAACAGATTGAGTCTTTTTTTCAGATATGATTAGCCATATGATTAATGCAGCTTTTGGTGATAACACGAGACTTCACCTTTGTTGTCACAAACAGCACCTTGGGAAAATTCAGTGCTAAGGAAAATTCAATGCTATTTAAGTTGAAACCTAGAACTAGTGGTAAGAGGGATAGCTGCCACTCATGGAAACTCATACATATCCACCAGGCTATACTTTCTGCAAGTTGAAATTATTAAAGTCCTCTCTTTGGATCTTGTTTGTTTGGTTCGGTTGCTTTCTGGTGTGTTCCACACAGAACCTACTTTATTGTGAGCAGTAAAATTCAAAATGCAAAGGAAAAACCATTATGATAATTTTCCATTTCTCTTCAGGGAATTGCTACTTCCTTAGGTATTATGGCAGACATCTTTGCCTCCATGAATGAGAAGGATTATGTACGTTTTAAAACCAGTGCTGAGATTGACCTGGTAAGACTTGATTTGGTATTTGTGTGTGTAGATTGTCAGATGGACGGTATGTTGTTGTCCCAAATTCACCTACACTTTGTTCTTCCTCCAGTTCCTCTCCTGTGCTGAGAGGTCTGAAGAAACTTCCATTGCTCCTGGTGGAAAAAGTTCATTAGCACCTAGATAGAAGAATGCCTTGCTTCAGGAAAAAGGAAGCATTAAGAGTATTTATAGAGCATGTATGTCTGTGTCTCTGTAACATATAGAATACTTACAGTTCAGAAAGTGACACAATGATGGCAAATCTGAGCAAAAAGGCTCCTGCAGAAACAGACCTGGCTGTTGTTGTTTAAGGTATGATGTCCTGCTCTATCAAAACTCAAAGGTCTCAGTGAGCTCAGGGAACCTACCACAGACATGAAACAAATCCCAAGCTGCCTTGCTTCAATCTAACAGGGTTGCTTACAAGGTAGACCCCCTCTCTTTGAAAAGAAAGCCTTTGAGATGAGGTTTTCCCTCTTGGTTTTTTTTTTTCCACTTCACTAGAGCCTTCTCCAAGAGTCCAGTCATCGCTTATTATCAGCTGCTGAGGCCTGCAAACTAGCAGCAGCTTACAGCCAGTACACCCCACTGTTTGTCCTCACAGCCGTGGTAAGTATTAGTCTTCACTCTGAAAGTGTTATTTGTGTCAGAGAAGAGTCCAGGCTATTAAATTTGGCACTAATCTGTCTTTTAAACATTGCATCATACAGGGTATTGTGTCGGTGTTGTGGGTGTGACACTGTATGTTACTCTGAACTCCAATCAAGCTAAGCAGACAGGTGGAAAGCAGTATCTGTCGACAGAGTGAGGATGGGCTTTCAAGCCCATCTGGGAATACTGCTTCTTCTATAACTACAGCTATATTTCAAAGGGAAAACAGCAAGGTTATTTTCTCCAGGAGACACAGCAGCAGGCAGTTAGCGCCAATGTTTGCTTCAAATTGTATAAAGGAAATAAACATTTTTTCCTGCCTTTATTTATCTCTGACAGGTTTGGGCTTTTAATTCCTTCATTCCTCTTTCATCCCCTCCTAGAACATCCGTGGGGTGTGTTTGCTGTGCTATAGTCATTCCAAGGACTGTCCTCCAGAAAAGAGAAAGTTCTACTTGTCCGAAGCCAAAGAATCCTTTGAGATTGGCCTCCTCACCAAGAATGATAAGAGTCCCATCACCAGCAAGCAGGAGCTCCATAGTTTTATTAAAGCTGCTTTCTGCCTCACAACTGTGCATCGATGGCTCTATGGGGAGGGTGAGAAACTCCGTGAGGTGAGTCAACTATGTAGAGAAGCCATGGAAAAACTTCATTCATACAGCGCTCCATTTACAGAAGAGAAAGAGAAAGGAATGCTTGCCAAGGAGATCATGTCTCTGATCACGTCTGTGAAGAAGCGCCTGCAAGTGGAAAGCTTCCCTAATTCTGATGTCAGGTCTTACGTTCCAGATAGTTATAAAGGGAAAGTGGAAAAACCTATCCTGCCATGGGAAGCCAGCTTTGAGAAAATCCTTGCCATGCATTCTCAGCATCATCTGTCAGTATGTGAAGTGTTTGAAAATACTTGCAGGATTCATAAAACCACTCCGGGAGAAACCCAAGTGGGAGCTTGTATCACAACCTTAAGAACAGAAACCGGAAACATAGACACTGTGTGTACTACTGAAGAAATAGGGTACCAGAGGAAAGGCACTGCGAAAACGCTGAATTCAGCAACAGCAGGAAGTAGCTCAGAGAGATTCAGTGGCCAGAGAAATAAATGCATTGGTTCTGATGTGATGAAAATGTCCTTAGAAGAAGAGATCAAGCCATTAGAAATAGAAGTAAGTGATGAAAACAGTGTTTCCAGCAGATGGCAAAACAGGAGTCCTACTTCAGAGAGCTCTTGGTGCAAGCTGTCAAAATCAAGTTACTCTTCCAGCTGGGAGGAACTAAACTGTAATAGCAGCAAAGGGTCTCCCAGGGAAGGGCAGCAGCAGGAAAAGGGCTCAGCGGAGGAAGAGTGTTGCACAACAGAATCTGATGAAAATGCTCAAGGTGCATACTTGCGCCCATTGCCTCCCAGAGCCTGGCCTCCTTCTCCTCGAGAGCCTGTACGTAGCTCCTGGGGATCTCCTCAGCCTCCCTTAGAGGTAGATGCACCTCTCGCTGGGAGGCTGGTAGAGAAGGCATCTCTTTGCGGAGGAGAGCTGCAGGAGGGAAGACACTGTGGAAAGAGCTCTTCAGAGAAGGAAGAAGGGGAGATGAAGAATGTGGTTCCTTCCCTCTCCACCCTTTACTCTGTTCCTACCAGGCGGAAGGAGGAGGAGGAGGAGATGAATTTCTCCTCCCGGGCAGAGCTGGGCTGCAGGACCAAGGACAGCGGCAGGGAGGGCGGTGGCGGAGCCCCCTGGTCCCCGCCCCGCAGCCGCTTTGTGGGTGCCCGCCCAGAAGCAGAAACTGCAGATAGCACAGAGGATCCCTCGTTGGAGGCACGTCCCCTCACAAATGGGGGGGCTTCTGCATTGTCGACGAGCATCGAGCCGAAAATGGCCAGCGAATCTGCGCGTGACTGGCTGAGGAAATCTGCTGTGGTGGGAAATGGGTCTCTCAAAGTGCCTGAAGTTGACACTCAAGCAGAAACACTAGATGACACGGAATTTGATTTTATCAATACTGGAGACTTAAACAATTATCCTATGGCGTCTGTTCCGAAGCATCAATCAACTCCCAGTGCAACAACAGCTTTGCCCTTGGGAGGAAAGATACCCGTAACCAAGCACTTTGACTGTATCACTACTGAAGAAGACGAAGAAAAGTCTTGGGACATGGTGAGCAGGAAGACACAATCCAGTTCGTCTCTAAGTTCATGGTGCAAATCAGTGCAGATGCCCAGTAGTTCCCCTGAAGGTTCATTTCTGAATCCAAGTGGTTTTGTCTTCATGCCTGGGAGAATGAAGCAAGAAATCCTTGATGCTCGATTTCTGAGCGATGATGATTACATGAAGCTTCTGGCAGGAGTAGAACATAATTGGCTTGTCCAGAGACTGATGCCTACTGGAATTTTTAAATCTAAACAGCTTCGTAAATCATACTGTAAGTTTCCACACAGCAATGGGCATTTTCACACAGCAACAGGTACACCCACAGACAACAGGCTTTATAACACAATGTTTTAGTCATAATTTATTATGACTTTTTTTGTAGTTGCTTTATGAGGTTTTGTGTAAGAATTTTAGAAATGGAAGGACACTCCCTTGACCCATTTTCTCCTGTTTCATCTTATTCATTTGCACATCTTCATGGATGTGCTCATGGAAATGGCCTCCATCTCCATGTCTGCTCAGTCCTTCCTGCTTCAGTCCCTTCATGCAAGAGGTAACTTAAGCTGGTTGAACTCCCTGTGCCAGTTCAAGGCTGTTCTACCCCATTACTTGAGTCTTTGGTTTTGTCGCCCATTTAGTTTCCCCATTTCACCCCTGCAAACTGTGTATTTAGGATAATGATTATTAAGTTAATTATAAATAACAGCCATACCATTAATATGTAGACACTCGATCAATTCTCTAAGAAATGCAGAAGTTAGGAGCAACACCACTATAGGCTGCCTCACTGAGCTCATTAAGTGAAACCCACTTAGGGCTCATCCCATCTTACATGTCTCAAGCCTGTTCGGCAATTTTTTTTGTCCTTAATGTAAAATATCCAACTCTTCACCTAGATACTTCATAGTATGTATTTTGTAGCCCTGTACTTTGCTTTCAGAGAAGCATGGATATCTCCTGGGTGCTGGTTATTTCATCCCTCAGCACAGGCTTAGAGCAGTCCTGTGGAATTCTACTGTTCATTCTATTTGTGATGTTTTCTTTTTGTAGCTGCTCTTCTTTTAAAATACTCAAAGAAATCAGGCCTCTGGACAGGCCAAGAAACAGCTGTATTCATTGGGGACTACCTGAACGTGGCAAAGGAAGGCAAACAGAGAAGTGCATTTTGGATACACTTCCTGCACCAAGAGGAAAGCCTGGGAAGGTATTGACCAAACCAATTTCTGAAACAAAATGTTATGCTATTTCTGTGTAAATAGCATAACATAGTGCTATTTCTGTGTAAATATGAATTAAAATATTATTTTTGTGTAAATGCTATTTCTGTGTAAATATGAAGGAAAACTGTCTGGTAAGATTAGTCTTATACCTGTAATTCAGCTAGTCCAGTGCCCTGTTAGACAGGAGTTTTAATCAAGTGTTTTCAGAAGGCAGTACAAGTTTTTACCTGGACAACTACAGAAATCATAGTCACAGTGGGAGAAGATAATTTCTTTAGTCTGTTTCAACCTAGTTTACATTTGGTTAGATTTGGACTGATTTGCTGTAGCAAGAATTTTTTATGGCTTTCCCAAATCTCTTGGGCATTTTGGCAATCTTTCCCACCACTCCATGTAATTCTTTACTTTTTAATTCCTCAGAAGAAAAAGCTACTTCACTGTTGTGTTCTAACAGCCATTCTAATAACAGCCAGTTAATGTTCATTTGCTCATGACAACTCTTAGGCCTGACTTTACCTTTGTGTTGGATTAATGTTGCTTCCATTTTATATGACCTCTAGCTTTGCATTAGAGAATTAGCAATATATATATATATATATGGCAATACTTATAAGCAGAAAGGTGTTTCAGTTGCTTTTCTTTAATTTCAGCAGCAGGTTTATGCAATGGGGATGCATCTGCTCTGAAAGCAGGATTAAAATCACCTATTTGCTTCATAAAGGCCTCTACACCAGGAGAGCTCTGCTAACTACTAATTGCAGATTCTGCATTGTTATTAGAAGTAGCTTATGAATTATTATCGGTTAAGAGCAGTATTTTAAGTACCTCTGAGTCAGGTCTCCCTTCAGAGTCAAGAAGAGTTGACTTTAAATATTCCAATGTTACAAAACCTCCATCCTAGGATTTGACTGATCAGTACAACATTTTATGCCTGTAACAGCTATAGGAGAAATCACAACTTTAATCGTTGCCATTTTAAATGCATCACCAACAGCTGGCTTTGCTTCTGAACAGCCAAGCTCTGCTTTGTAGTGATGTTTCTGTGTCACAAGTAGGGCTTCCCGAGTGCAGTCTGCTGCTACGCCAAACACTTCTCCTTTTGTTTAGGTATGTTGGGAAAGAATATAAAGAAGAAAAAGGACTACTTCATCATTTCAGTGACGTGGAGAGGCAAATGACTGCCCAGTACTATGTGACGGAATTCAACAAAAGGCTGTATGAGCAGAAGATCCCTACCCAAATCTTTTATATCCCATCTGCGGTACTCCTGGTAAGAACTGCCTTTTAAGCAATACAAAGGAATTGATGGGAAGAATGTCTTAAGACTGCTGATTTTAAAATAGTAGCAGTTAGGCCACCTATGACCTTACCTGGTAGATGCATTTGCTTATTTCAGGACAGAAGACACCTACCTGCAGAGCTACAAGTTCATGGGTGCACTGGCAGAAAAGATGCCATGTACTGTTAGAAGTCACAAACTCACTTGTAAATGAAGCTCAAGAGTTACCTGGCCTTTTATATCATCTAACAGTATATAAACATCTTTTTTTGGGGGGTAGTTATGAAATCTGAACAGCAAAGTGACCCATTTTGAGCACCACAAAAATGTCTAACCCTCACTAGAATCCAGGAAGTGAGGCTCTTGTAGACAAGTTGATTTGCTACAGGACAACTTTGGGGCCTTTTCTGCATGATGCTGAATTTCAGGAACACAGGACTGGAAAGGACCACCTCATGACTCATCAGGTCCAGTGCCCTGATATCACAGACAGAAACACTGCATAATCCCTTTTTATACCCATTAAGCCATGTCTTAAAAGCAGACATGTTGTGTGTTGAGTTTTAACCTTCATTGCTTCCAATAAGAAATCATTTTAGATCTGCTTTCTTGACATCTGGAAACTTTCTACTACTTTCTAACCTAAAATGAATTTCTATTTACTGTCTCTCTCACAACTTCTTTGAGGCCTAGATCTAAGGAAGGAGCAGCAATAACATCCCCTCATAGCCTCTGTTCTCTAGACTAGGGAAGCCAAGCTCATTTTAGTGTTACCTCAAGATACAGGTCTCTCTTCCCCTGTTCATCTGGGAAGCCCTGAGCCTATTCTACTTTGAATTCCCATTTCTTAAACATCGATGATCTGAATTGTACAGTGTTCCCCTGAGACCCCTCCACGCCTTCTGCAGATGCAACAGGAAACCTTACTCTTAGCGAGACCTGCATTTTTCATGGTCATATCACACTGGCAGCTCAGTCGTCCTTCACGTGGCTATCACGAAAAGCTTTTTTCCTCAGTAACAACCTCTTAGCATAGAATAGGAGACCTTTAAACCACAGACACCTTTAAACCATGGTTCAATTAACTTGTTGATGCAACCTCACCACTGATCCAAGGCCCAACAGCCTGCTTCTTTTTTTGCTTACCCCTGACAGCACAACCAGTGTTTATCTCTCCACCTGTGTGGGCTGTTCACAGTCATGAGAAGGAAATGCCGATGTCTTCCTTGCAGCTGAGCATACTTGGATGAGTGAAGAAAGACTGGTGGAATTGGCAGGGCCATGACCTTCAGCAAGGCCATAGATCTGTCAGCCACCTCTCAGTCAGGCCATTTCTGTCCCTCCATCCCAGTGGTCCAGCCTCAGAGGTGACCTGCTGAGAGCCACGAGAACCAAGTGGCTGAGAGGTGGCTGGGATGTGGAGTTATCTGAGGGAGCCTGGGAAGAGGGGCAGCAAAGTCACCAGAATGACTTTCTCTCTTGAGCGGGTTGCTTCTACCCTCTTCTGCATGATGGTTGTGAGGAAAGCATGCAAAGTTGTGAGACAAATGGCCCTGCTGTGCCAGCACCCAGCCTGATCATTAGAGGCAGGAGCTGCATCTGGGTGTCCTGGCACAGAGGTTAGAGCTGACATCCAACCCCCAGTGGGAAAGTAAAGGATCTTTTCTTTATTCTTATTCTTAACTTTCCATTTGGCTTGTGTTTCAAATATGGAGAGCTGCCCTCTGGGGTACAGAGCTGAATTCGCTGTTTCATTATGAGTAGGTATATGATAGCATGCTATGCGTATTACTATTTCTGTTAGCCATTCTGGCACTAGATCTGGCTCTATGCCACTCGCTAATAAGGCCTAATGAGAGTCTGGCATCAGTACTTACAAGTCTCTGAACACAGAAATTACTAAAACAACCCCCAGAACCTCCCACTGCTTATTTACACACTGAAGACGGACCAGGTGCCAGTTTAGCCAATCTTTTCAGCTTTCTAGCTTATTCTTTATAGTCTCCTGAAAGAAGTTCCCTATTTGCTGGACAAACTAGATATTTGTAGAATTCATTGCTCGTGGAGCTTGGCCTGCCAGGCTGATTTTGTGTTGGATCTTGTTCCACCCTTTGTTCTAGTTAAATACAAGCTCCACATCTAAACAGCCTGTGTTCTGAATCAGCAGTGGGTTAACATGGAGACTCTTCTCATCCATCTTATGACACAAAGTTCTAGGAGGAAAAGACAAGACTTTAGTTAGAGCAGCTTTAGCATCCTTGTTTTCACATTTCTGCTTGCATGACTGTCATTAATGATCTCTTTTCAGATACTGGAAGACAGAACTATAAAAGGATGTGTGAGTGTGGAGCCCTACATCCTTGGGGAGTTTGTGAAGCTGTCCAATAACACAAAGGTAGTAAAGAATGAGTACAAAGCCACAGAGTATGGTCTAGCCTACGGCCATTTCTCCTATGAGTTCTCCAATGGAGCAGATGTTGTTGTTGATCTGCAAGGTTTGTATTACAGTGAATTTCATTTCTTGAGTGTCCTCTCATGTTGCAGAATATGCTGTATAAAGGACATGCTGTCTCTAAGTGACGTAAAGTGAGGGAGGTATGTGCAGGTATGTCTTTGCCTTGAGCAGTGCTCGTGTTCTCCATTGCATCACAGCAAGAGCACGTAAGCTGTGTGCTCCCAAGTGTGCCACAGATTCATGCCATGGAGTGGTCTGCTGCATCCAATTAGACTAAAGCCAGTCTGCAAGGATGTGCCTTGTGGAACCATCTAAAGGAGAACCACTAAAAGAGGCAGCGGGTTTTGTCAAGCTTTCTCCCTCCTAAAATTGGCAAGCCAAAATAGTCTCTTGTTCATCTAATGAAGAATTGAGCTCTTGGTTAAGAGCCAACAATAAGATCTTTTGGACTCAACCTTGAGCCCACGGGTATCTTTGGGATATCCGTTTCATTAAATGCTCATTACATACCTCTTAGGGTTCTGCTTTTGCTGAAATAGGCACAAACTGGGAATCACTGAAGCGTCATTCACAGAGTGTGGCCTGTGCCAAGCAGACAGTCCTCAGTACAATAATACAAAGGCTGTGATGTTTGATACCAAGATGTGTCCTTTCTTCCACAGGTTGGGTGACAGGTAATGGGAAAGGCCTCATCTACCTCACAGACCCCCAGATTCATTCTCTTAATAGCAAAGATGTTTCACGCTCCAACTTTGGGAAGAAAGGAATTGATTACTTTTTTAATAATCAACACATGAAGTGCAATGAAATCTGTCGCTGTCTGTCTTTAACAAGACCCCCGGTAGAGCTGCCACTGTAGACTCGCACAAGATAGTAATGCAAAGAATGACCCATAAGCTGGACAGTATTTTATCTTACACACTTTTAGGAGCATACTGTCTTTGTGAGATCAGAGCCGCTGAGACGATACTCATGTAAGTCCAGCCATGAGTTTGGCAAGTTTGGGTCTTTGCATCCAGGCTGGTAATACCATGTTACCAACTTGTGTACCATCTGAACCTCGTGTTGTTGTAGCCATCTGTAAGAATGAACAGAACAGAGAAGTAAGAAACAGCCTCTCAAATTCAGCTGGATGTGTACTTCAAGACTGTATAAACTTTGCATTCATTCAGACCCAGTAAGGGCAATAGGCACCATCTGATCTTTGGAAATAGAATATGAAGTAGAGATAGAAGCAGAGAGCTGTATTTCAACCATCTGAAATTTTCAAAAACTTGTATAAATGCTTCAGGGAACAAATGGTAATGTTTTGGCTTGCTTAAAAAATATCAGGGTTTCTTCAGGGGTGTGTATGTCTGGGTGCATACGTGATCACACAACATCTAAACAGATGCAAATAGGGTTTTAACTGTAACTGCCAAGAAAGCTCTGCTGCTCTGCAAGGGAAAAATAGTGTTCTTGAATCAAGAGATGCTTCACATGAATAATCTTGGACTGCTACATTTAACAAACTCTCAGAAGACTTTCCCAAGAGAAGAACAGCTCTCACTTAAGGAGAGCATGTCTCTTCTGCCTGTAATGAAACTGTGAGCATCGTGGATTTGGTGAACAATTCTATAACTAATTCTCACCAATCATCTCACTGGATGTCAGTGTAGCTTTCACAAAGGAGCAGTTCTGGGGGGAGATCTGCATCTAATAAGCATGAGTAAGCAGCTTCAGTGCCAGTTTTGGTTCCAGCTAGGCAGGCAAAGCACCCCTTCCCTTTGAGCTTCTGTCGTCCAGCCTCACAGAGCTGCGAGGCAGAAGATTGTTCAGGGAAGAGAGGTGCCTTTCTCAGCCAGGTCCCTGGCAGAAGCGGACAGAAGGAGACTTGCAATTTGCAGCCAGTAGCAATGGGTTGTACCTCAGTGCTGCTGGACGCACAGCCTGCAGAGAGAGCTTCCAACCCGCTTCTTTTCTGGCACATCCCAGAAATACATTTTTGAAAGTAAAACAGATGTCTGATAATATTTAAGTGATATATTTACACTTGCCTCTACCAACAACTCACACCAAGATCCTGATCCTCCCACCCTACTCTACTCATACAGCCAAAGACTAAATTTCTACCTACACGATGAGTGGTTTTCTTGGCCACTCTGCCTGTGCTGGAGACATGCTTTACCATCATTTTTTACTGTCCTTTACCCCTGATTTTTAACACCAGGACTGAACAGCCTGTGGCAACATGTATGCTGGCCACATGCTTCAGTAGTGCCTGCCTGGGTTAGAGGCAGCTGCAGCCTTTTACTTTTATGAAACAATCTTTCACAGCTTTGTTTTGTTTTGTTGTTTGTTTGTTTTTAAACTAAAGCTCGGGATTCATTCACATGACCTCCTTGGACACCTACAGTAATTCACGTACTGATAAGCACTCACTCATCCACCTCCAAGAGATCCAACTGCTAGAGTTAATCTGTCACAGCAAATTTCAGAAGCACATAGAGGAGAGCAATGCGCTCGTAATTTGGTGAATTCTAGCTGAAGAGCTGATTTTTTTTTTCTTTTTTTTTCCTGCACAGGCATGTTAGCTAAAAAGAGTCAAATCTGCTGGCATGGTCAGATAATGTATACATGTGCTGTAAAGAAAAGAGAAAAAAAATAAGAGAGGATGGGAGCTCCTCACACAAAATGCTGTACCTCTTCAATGCTAAATTAAGCCAACTGGAGTGTCTGGGTGAGAAAAAAACAAACAAACAAACAAAACAAAAACCCCAAACAAAGCAAAAAACTCTTGGCAACATTACCCAAAATCAGGCTATGTTAAAGGTAGAATTTTCAAATCAAATACACTGACTAATGCATTTGACTCCTAAATAAATGCAACTGTCCATTTTACATCTACTGTGGCCAGACTTTTAAGGAGTTACTTGGCCAGGATGAGTGGGCTTCAACCTTCATTTCCAAGGAATGATTAACCTGAATGAGCTTCCAGGACGATGCTTGTCTCAGCCTCTGTCAGGGGTGCATGGCAGATTTTGATTAAAAGCAGAGGGCATATCTTTGCATCTACAGGTTACAGATGATTTTCTATTCCGTAGGAGAAGGAAAGTGATCTTATATTCTTCCCGCACATCTTTCCTGGTGTTACGAGCCTAACCAGCAAGCAGAAAAGCTACTTCTGGGAAAGTTAAAGCAACAGTTAGACGTATTCCCCTTAAGAGTGCCACATATGACTGGAATAACAGACAGGACTGGAGCTAACATTTGTTGCTGCCTCTCCAGCCAAAAGAAACTATGGTGAGACCTAGGTTTTACTCTTCCAAGACCATATTAGCACCTCCAAAATATTTGTGTGCGCCTGCATATGCATGTGAACTCCCATGTCTATTATGAGGCTCTTCATGTGAAACATGGTAAGTAGCTTTCCTGCTCCATCAGCAGTGAAAAGCTGCATTCATTTCAAATTCTCCTCTTCTCCTCCAAAGCCCTGATGTCCCAATGCCCCCGAGCTCAAAGGCTGGGATCGTTTCTTTGGGAAGATTTTTCTGGTGAGAAAGGGAACACAGCATCAAACTTCCACAAAAAGATGGGTCCCCAACAGAGAGTTAGCTTTAACAAAACCATCCGCTTTTGTTTCTGCAGCCAGCAGAGATTTTTAGGCTTTTGTTCCCGCTTTTTAGCAATGCTATTGTTTTCTAGGTGATGTTTGTGCCGAGTTGTTTGGAAGGATGCCCTATCACTGCACTGACTGATTAGAACTAGGTGTAAAGAGGGAGAATCAAGAGAAGAAAAAAAAATTAAATCTCTTTATTATGGTGCATAAACCTTCAGTGTTGGGGAGCTGGGCAGCTGCGCAGGAAGAAAAATGCATTCAAAAATATAATGCTAGTGTGAATAATCCTTTCTCGAATGCTGCTTGCAGACTGCTTCAGCTTTGTCAGGTGAACTTGAACTGGGCCATCAGATTTGCTGCCATTCCCATTGCACACTGTCTATCACCCCGGGGCATTCACCATCTTGACTGTTGTTAAAAGCGAGCAAACAATCCATCATTGAGCTGGGGAGTCACTCGCTCATAGAAAAGTAAAATCGGCATGTGACGGTACACTCAGCCCCAGTGTTTCGCAGATTAAAGTGATACATGAAAACTCACGTGTTACTGGGAAGATTAAGTCCGTTATCTTGTTCTGCAGCCAATAAAGGACAGCCTTGTCTTCAGCAGTAGGGAAATGCTGGCTTTAACCAAGTGACAAACGCTGTTCATACATAGCTTCGTGCTCCAGCAAAAGAGAGCGCCGAGCTCTAAAGAGGAAACAAAGCTAGTTAGCAAGATCTCTGGAATTAATAGGCGGCAGAGATGCTGTGTTAAAGCCTCTCTGCAGAGGCTTTCCCTTCTCTATAGAGACAATTACAAGCAAAACAAAACCTCCCGGACAATCTCTGCAGAACAAAGTGTCCTAATACGCTGCCAACAGCCAGCCCTGCGATGCCTGCTCTAATAGCACAAGCAGTTTCGAGACCCCTGAGAAGTAACGCCTTTTCCAGCTTATGCCTCTTGTTCAAAGAAAGGAAAAAAACCCTATTTAGATATGCTCCTGAATAAATCTATCTGTGGGAAATTTTAATATTTTCATTTCTTCCTAATATTTGCATTTAGCAGCTGGTTTCTGTTGTTGGGTTGTAGCATACATTTTACTATGTCAGTCAAAGTTGTGGCTACTCACAGTTAAACGTGAGTATCAGGTACCAGCTTTTCCAGTTCCCTGTTGAAAAAGGCATCGTCATATTTAACCCCACAGATTCTACTGGTCTTACTCTTCACAGGCTTGGGCACAAATTCAAAGTTATCAGTCCTTCACAAATGCAGGCAGTCATCCAGGGCTTGGATACTAGAAGTTCTGCATTAATGTGCTCTATAACCTCATAAGCCTGAAGAACTTAGATACATACATGGCCTGAAATGCATAGAACTTAAATTATTTGTTCATATTTGTGGTATAAAGAGATGATTTGGGGGGGGAAATAAATAGTTGACTCAGACTGATGTTGAAGCATTTAATATTTTGCCTGGAAGTTTTATCTTGGAGCTACTCACCAAAAAAAATCCTGTTCTGCTATTTCCTCTGTTTTCAGAAGAAAGGAATATTTTTTTTCTCTTTTTTTAAGAAGTTCAGTGGTTCATATTAAGTAACTTTCTACCAGAGGTGCTTTTGGGGCTTGATTAATCATAACACACTCCAAAGTCCAGCATAAGAGCTCAGTATGACCATTAAGAGCCAGTCAACCTGCGATCTCTACAAAATGAATGAAACTGTGCTGTGCCGGTGCAGTGAAATACTATCATTGGCTGCGGGGACGTAAAGTCTGAAGAAACATCTCTTCCTCTCGACTAAAGCACCCAACTCGAGGACTTGAGTTTACACCCAGTGTAAGCACTGCAGTAAGTCAAGCACAAAAACATTCTACTCTTGACAAGGTGATGATACTTTCCTGTCCTTCAGGGAAGATATTCGATCAAAGAGGTTTTTCCCACTTACCTTTCTGTGGATATCCAGGTGAAAGGCAGAGGTCTTGTTTGCTGTGTGTCATGTACTTAAGCATAAAAGTTAGTAAATCTGATATCAAGAGGGAACAAGTTAATGCAGCCAAAGCTTATTAACCACAGGCAGAATGATTTTCTCACTCTTGCAATACCCAACATCTCTACAATGCGCTTTTGGGGAACTTCTCTCAAAAAAGCTGCAGTGTGAAAGGAAGACCCTTGGTTATTCCGACAGCACGAGGCTGAGCCAGGTTTGGCTCTGATGCTCTCCCTCCGAGTCAGCAGCATCCTTGGGCCGCTGAGGCTAGCAGCAGGCAGGAGTGGAGTGACCCCTCCAGCTGTGAGGCAGCCCCTGCACTCGAGGCAGCACGTCCCCACCGCCCTGAGAGCCCAGCTGCTGGATTTAGGCATTGGTCCTTTACCAGAACAAGCTATTCATGGCTACTGAGGGGAAAGCCTCAAGTGAGCAAGCTCAGCAAGGCAACCTGCGCTGCCAAATCTCTTCTGCTTGGCAAAACTCAGTGCTAATGCTGAACACACCAGCACCAGCCTCCTCGGCAATCTCCTTCCTGCTGTGCGGTTGCTTTTCCAGGCACAGGACTGGCACCCAGCATGGGAGTTTTCCCAGCTCATCCTGCCCTCCTGAAGAGCTGTGGAGGGCTCCTGCGGATGCTGGGGGAGCCCCCAGGGGAAGGGAAACCAAACATGCACAGCTGTATCTCCAGACATTGTATGCATGTTGGGGCAAACATGCTCTTTACAGGTGGTGTGGCATACTACTGTAACTGCTGCTCCCTTGAAATAGCCAGAACAGGGATATTTGAAGCAAAGTGTCAACTGGTAAGGGCCACTGTCACCTGCTGCCTTGGAGGGAAGTCCCTGCACCAGCACCCGGGTGCCTTCCCCAGCCCTGAAGGGAAGCCAGCAGCCCGGGGATGGCCCAGCGGCAGCAGCGTGCTGCTCTCACCCCTCTCCCGGGAATGGCACACACCACCCTCCCTCCTTTTTTCCACTTGGATGAAATCATCTCCCCTGTCCCCTCTGCAGTGCGGGAGCAGATGGGGCTGTTGGCCTCTGCAGACGCCTGCCGCTCTGGCTTGTGTGAGCCCATGGTGCCTCCAGCTCCCCCCGCCTGCCCATAGAACAGTCTCCACATAGAACTTAATCCCATTCTTTAATCAGAAAACTTGGCAAAGCTATTTCTAAAACAGAGCGTATCTGTCATCAAAAGATACCAAGTTATTCACAGTTCGGTTATTGCTAGATCCTGCCGAACGCTTCCACCGAAGCTGCGTGTGCTGCTGGACCAGAGCACTCACAGCACCAAGGTGGAGCCACAGGTCCCATAGCGGCAGGTCCAGCATCCCCCGTCCCTTTCCCACCAAGGGGGTGCAAGGGCGGCGTAGCCAGCACCCAGGGGTGCCCGGGCAGCCTGGCCGATGAAGGGCAGGGTAACGCTGGCTGGCAGCAGGTGCCTTCCCTCCCTCGGTAACAGCCAAGTGAAGCCCAAGCTGCCGTGCCGGCTACCGGGGCTGCCATCCCCTCCGAGCAGGCCATCACGTTAATAGAGGTTGATTTGCAAACGGCGTCGCCACCGCCCCC